CTACCAAAAAGAATTTAATCTGGTAACGTTTCGAAAATCGAAACAATTTTATCGAAAATGAAAAATTAGTTAGAAGGAGAAACAAACTTTTACCGGTTTTTTTCAATTTTTTTTTGACAGTAGATTTACGAAAATAATAAAATACTCGATACGTTAGAAGATTAATTTCTTACACTGTTTTTTCGTGTTGGAAAGGAATTTTCTACTTTTCTTTTTTTGAATAACGCGTCATACAAAAGTTCTTGGAAAACTGTCTGTACATTTTTCATTGGCTGAAAGACATTTTCGTCTAAACAGAAATATCTAATCAGAATCTACGTTGAAAGAGCTTTCTAACTATATATTTAACAAACGTCTATCATGTCTTACATTTGACAAACAAGCGCATCTTTGATTAGCATCACCATGCCGTTTGTACACAATCAGCACAAAATCGTATTAGCCAAAGTAACTGATATTTCATTGTTTTTTCATATTCTCGTCTTCATTGCATCGAATTGTATTGATCTTTGAATTATTAGATTCCTCATCCAAATCTCTACAAATTGTGCCAAGAAAAAGTGAAAAATAATGAGGCATTAGCTATTTCTGCTAATATAGCTTTCAGTTGATTGTGTACATATGATATCGTAATAATGTTCAAAGATGCGCTAGTTTCTCAAAGACGTGACACAAGACTCTTAAATATAGAGTTAGAAAACTCTTTCCATGTAGACTGAATAGATATGTTTGATTGTCCCAAGATATCTTTGAGTCAATGAAAAATGGTAAGACATTTTTCGAAATTTTGCATTATTCGTTAGTTATATTTTTTTGGTGTTCTCAATAAATTTCATTTTCAACCCTTGTTTTTGAATACAATTTTTCTAAAATGACTTGATTTTATCTTTTCCTTCTTTTGTGATTACATCAAAAAAGGAGCATATTTCAGTATATAAAAGAAAGACAAAATTAACAACAACAGGGTTCTTCGAAAAACACAATTAGGCAGTAATTAAAAACCTTTCTACGATACTGGACAATATAATCTTTTTTCCAAATAATAAGTTACATCACTCAAAAAATTATTCTTCCTTTTCATTCATTAGGGGAATCAAAATTTCAATTATTTGTAGGTCTACCACTGTCACCTAACGGCTTATGCTGACTGTTCGATGATATACATCAAATCCATTGGAATTTTCATGGGATCCAAATTTGGTCATTAGCCTGTGTCTGACTCAATTTAATATAATAATAAGTGACAGAAAACACGCTTCATAAAAATTTGTATTTCAATACACTCATTCTTTCGATATCTTCAGGGTTCTGTTGAGAACATTCGGAAAAATACATTTAAATTTTTCTCGAAAAGGGAAGTATCTTAGCGAATGCAATGGAAAGCCTATATTGTACACATCTGAATTCGTCCGCTACAAAAGTTTTGTCAATCAGAAAATTCCTCTATAGATAAAAAAAGTCTTAGAATTTGTCATTACTGCTGATATGGTGAAGTCAAGATGCACGCAATATTCTGGTCAATCCTCTGTTGAATTCATTGGAATTCAGAAAAATCCAGTAGATAACGTTGTCTCGTTCAATTGAATAATTTCTTATGTTTTAGAATATGTTGCTCATTTCAAACCTATTTTAAGGAAAGCGTTTCCAAACATGTTATATATCATATTTTATAAATAGATGAAACGTATATTTTTTATAATAGCCCAAACATTTCTTCCGAATATGTTAAGAACACTATGAATGTCTTCCAAACACGTCTTGTTTTCAGTCCGAGAACTCTTTCAACATATCATATATACACACCAAATAGTGGCCATTATATAATACGATGAGTATTATCGTTTTAAAAGCATAAACGTTCAATCTTGCTAGATACCAGCTCAGAGCACGCACTTGTTTTTTGGGAGGCATAATTTATTGAGATCTATAAGATGTACAAAATCTCGAGTCAAATGTGAGTAAGTACCTTGAAATGTTCTTCTCCATAAAATTACTCAGACATATTAATATCGGACGAAATATGCATGTGACACTCCGAAAGTTTCTCACTCGCCTTTCTTCAAAGTTATCATTTCCATTTGATTATTCTACTACAATGCATGGACATTTACGATGATGAGTGGAATTTCAGCCTTTCAGATCTTACGAATTATTATATTTTCTTATTTCTTTCACAGAAATCACATTTCAATTTTCGATCAGAATTTTGACTCTGAGTGAACCACACCCCACCAACTATTCGATTTTGCAATGAGTAGGAAATGTCAGCGGCATCGAAACCCTCGTGGAACAGGCTAGTTTTATCCTATGTCGGGTTTTCTTAATGCTATGAAAACTTATACTTTCTTATTAAATCATGGTGCGAAATTGTTTGCTTCAGAGACCGAATTTGCATCGAAAAATGATATGTGAGTACTCTGAAGGAAATGAAAACATATAGTGATTCCTAAGGTTTGAAAGGTTCAAATTTAACACACAATCGTAAATCTTCATACGTTCTAATAGAACTATCGAACTGAAATGATGACTTTCAGGAGAGTAAGTATAGGATAAAACTTTTGACGTGTCCTATGTATTTTATTTTTTCGCGAATTCGTACCAAAATATAATATAGCTCCCAGAGGTATGAGAAGTATACATACTACAAGTAAAAATATTTTACTTGTACTGGAAAAAATGTACTTCATACTTGTACTTGTACTTATACTTGAAGAAGAGTATGTGGTACTTATACTTGTACTTCAAAATGTGTACTTTTATACTTCTACTTAAATAACAAAACGTTGTAGGTTTTACGTTTATTTGAGATATACGAAAGAAATTGCTTTAGTAAAGTTGAATCGTTCTGATAGGTTTTTAATATCACTGTAGTATGGTTTGGTTATGAAGAGATTATTCAAGTATTTCAACAAGACTTTTTATTTAAATACAAGTTCATTATAGTTCACTTATAAAATCATCTATTTTCATTACATGGATTTCTTTGAAATTACCATGGGTGTATCGCAGGCATTATGTCTCAAAGACGAAGCTCATTGCATGAAAAAGTATTTAAAAGTCTGGTATTCTTACATGTGAATCAAAATTTGATCTAAGAGATATTTTATAGACTATCCATTAATTTTAATTTATGTATTTGTTTTCCCTTTTCATTTTTTGTCACTAACTTTTTATTTGTACTTTTGTGAACTAATTCGATTTTTAAAATTTGATATGGTCTTAGAATAGAACTTCATTAGACTTCTTTGTTTTTACATATGATAAAAAAACCAAGAAACTGAAATAACTTAAAATAAAACTCGAATAGTATAAAGAGCACTGCGTATAAGTTTCACCTTTAAAATTTCAAAAAGGTGAACATGAATCAGTTGTCGTTAGAACCTCGCGAGGGATTGTAAGTTATGACAACGGTTCTTCCATAAGTAGTAATTACCCACATTTCAACGAGATTAAAAAACCTTACGATTACAAACAATGACCATATATTTTTATTTAAGTACAAGTACACGTCTTGAAGTAAAAGCATACGTGCCAAGTATCAAGTACACTTTTTCCAGTACAAGTAAAATATTTTTACTTGAAAAAGTACAAGTACACATACTTTCGTCCTCACTCTAATACCTACGACCACTATTCACTCCCTTTTTTATGATGTCATAAAGGACTAAGATTCTCTATCATACACTTTTTATTTGCATGCTTTCAACGTATAGACATAACTAGAAGTTAAGAACTTCAATCCTATGTAATGTAACACAAAAATTCTTAAGTTCAACACTAATTTTCGTTTGTTTTAAATAAAAATGAAACAAGGTCTGAAAATATAGAATAAGTCTTTGACCTGAATGCTTTATATTTACATAACATACAGAAAGGCCATCTTGTTATATTGTTCATAATGCCAACATTTGAGAAAAATAACACTGCAGACGCAAACGTGCCTAGGCAACATATGTTGTTTGAACTGCATATTATCCATATTTATATGGTCGTCTGCAATGGACGACAATTAAAGATATTTTGGTTGGCCGTAGAAATGCCGAAAGAAAAAATGTAGAAGAGGAAAAATGTAGAAAGACAAAATCGAAAGGGAAAAAGATCGCAAGCAAAAAAGAATGTCGAAACAAAAAAATATAGAAAAAAGTGATGCCTCCAGCAGACGATGGCTGTAATCCAATATAGTTTATTATTGATTTTCTCATTATTCTATTGGTGTGGCACTATGACCACAAGTCACGATGATGAGAAACACTTTGATAGAGAAGAATTGAGATGGTCAGAAACGTAATATTATACGACTGAAAATTTACTATCATGGCTACAAGTGTTTCATGTTCATTAGATGAAAATAGTCCATCATCACCAATTATTTCTTTTATTCAGTCGCAAAAAGGAAAACCTTTGCTTGTGTTAGATAAATATATTTTTAAACTGAACAAAACAACTAAAACTGTTAAATATTGGATATGCACACTTATTAAATGTTCAGCAAAAGTTCATACAAATTTATATGATGAATTAATTAAAATCATTGGTGAACATTGTCACCGTCCAGAAAAAGAAACAATAGATGTGCGTGAATTTCGTGAGTCGTTTTCATCATATGTGTATTCAACTCAATGCAGGTTTAGGTGCTCGAGCAAAACAAGCTAAAACAACTGCTATTCAGCGTCGTATAGATAATCTTGATAAACGATATTATGATGGTTTAATTAGTGTAATGGAATATTTAGATGGTTTATCATTTACAGTTGCTAAACGAAAAAGATGACATATTATTATTTTTTTTTTCTCTGACTTGTTGTGTACGCTGTATGTTATAATGTTATTATTGTGTTAAAAATAAAGAATATCTTATTAGTTAAAATTTTCGATATTTTTTCTTTCGATATTTTTTCTTTCGGCCTTTCTACAGCACACCGATATTTTCTGCTGTTTCTCTCATAACGTGAACCAATTTAACTATAAAATTTACACCTGATTAATCTTATAATATATATGAGACGAGCGATTTTTTTTCTTTACGACAATGTTGACGCGTTTCGTGTTTCACTTGAATGAAAAGAAGTGAAGGTCAAAAAAACATAAATATGAGTATTATATGTGTCAGCTCGCTGTTTCATAGATTGGCTAGATAAGAATGGTTGAGATATGATATACCCTTCTAGCCCTACCTCTAAAAGATCTAACTCGATTATTGACTTTGCCATTACAAATGACGGAACAGGCTGGAAGGCTGAAGTGCTGTATGAAGGAACATCAGATCATTATCCTATTCTCTTTACATCGCCACTTAATCTAGCAGAAAACAGTTACTTTCGTAAAACAAACTGGAAAATCTTTAGTTTTTTTCTACAATCTACTTTTG